GTTTCCCCCGCACAGGCCACACACACAGGTAGATTTGGTTGCTTTCACAAGGACAGCCCTGCAGAAGTCATTGTCTCTTGCTGGGCAGGACCTGTGGCTGGGTTCACCAGCAGTGAGCGGCCTCACAGTGGTTAACGGGAGTAGGAGGGAGAGTCTGGTGAAAGTCAAGGCTTGTATGGGAAACCAAGTCATTTCCCACCAGGAACACTTGGCATGCTGACCTCTCACCCAGGCAGCAGATGTGATGGCTAAAGGGAACAACAGGTGACCACACCCACTCCTGAGAGCAACTGCAAATTGCATGTGGCCACGAGGGGCTCTGTAATCTGTTTCTGTTTGCTAAATGCCTCTCTACCGGGGGCAGTTAAGACACCCGGAGAGTGGACAAACTTGGAGGATGTTGCTTAGCTCCAAAAAAGGAAAAGAAAACAGGTTACACGCACATTGGAGGTAAATCAGCCTGACTGGCTCTTGAGAACTTGACGATCTCAAATGTCCACAAATAACTGTGTAAAGTGGAGCACAACAGAGAACCCAAGGAGACAGTGGCAGCGTAAACACAGTGCTGGGCACTGTTTTAAGAGCTTTTGTATATTTTAAGAGCTGTTTGGCTGGGCACAGTGGCTCATGCCTATAATCCCTGTACTTTGGAGGCTGAGGTGGGAGGAGTGCTTGAGGCTAGGAGTTCGAGGCCAGGAGCTCAAGGCCAGCTTGGGCGACAGAGTGAGACCCCATCTATACAAAACATTTAAAAAAAAACAGCCAGGTATGGTCGCATGCACCTGCAGTCCCAGCTACTCGGGAGGCTGAAAGAGGAAGACTGCTTGAGCCCAGGAGGTCAAGGCTGCAATGAGCTAGCATCTCACCACTGCACTCCAGCCTGGGTGACAGACTGAGACTGTCTCTAAAAACAATCAAACAAAAAAGAGCTTTATGGATATTCAATGTTTACATGTAATCCTTATTATATGAAGCAAGTACTACTATTCCCATTTGTGGGGTAGTACTATTATTATTCCCATTTCACAGATGAGGAAATCAAGGCAGGTGAGATCACAGGCCCAAGCTTACAGAGCTGGTAAGTGACACAGCTGGGATTTGAAACACTTGTTCTCTGGCTTCTGACAAGGGTCTGTGTGCTTAACCTTGACACTGAGTTGAATAAATACGGCACATCTTGCCAAGCAAAGAAGGGAATCTAAAGATGTTAAAACTCTCCCTTCAGCAGAGGGGAAAGGGTGAAAAGTAAGCAGCGAGGACCAGGTGAATGAGAAGAGGTAGGTTGATAAGCCGACTCCCCTCCCAGGAAACCCATTCTGTCTTAGGGAACTCTGTAAAACCTTCTTACTTCACCAAAATGAATCTCACAATAGTTGGAAAAACAGAGCCACCCTATCCTGTTCCCCCAAACGCTGTCCCCCGCCTATTATGCAAGTGCCTATTACAGCCAGCTGTGGACGTCTCTTTTGTGGTCATGGTTTTTAACTGCAAATGAAAGAAGAAACCCATGTCAGGAAGCACGCATCTTACCAATCCCACATTCGGGCGTGCAGGAGACCCTGAAACGTGGGCTGAGTCTTTGGAAAGAGTGAACTATCCGGGTGGGGTGGGGGGCTGCTGCTGGGAAGGATGAGGTGTGGTAAGGGCTGAGACAACCCCAAGACAATCTGTGAGAAAGGCCTGGCAGGGCAAGGAGGGACAGTGAAGCACCAGGGATGACACTGGCTCCAGGAAGCCAAATCTCTCTCCGAAGGACAGGGTGGCCACAGCAGCTCCTGGGAGCCAGCCTCTAACCCATAGAACAATTGTGAGAAAATGCCCTGGGGCAGTTCCCTGTGCTCTCAGAGGCCCTCTTCCAGCACAAGGCCAGTGCCACAGCTGGTCACCCTTCAGCAGGCGATATTTTGTCCCAGGCCTGACTAGGTGAGCCAGTAGCTACTCACACGGAACACACCGAGAGCACCCTCTGGAATTCCCAGGGGCTCCCTCACCTCTCCCAACCTGCTGTGTGTCTTGACTTGAGATGGTGGGCACCTCAGGGACAGGGCACACAGGGAGGCATCCAGGCCCCTGTGGACTCTAACAAGCTTCAAGCTGATACCAGGGGAGGAGGGGGCAGCCTGCAGGAGCAGAGAGCAGGTGCCTTCGCTTGATTCCCAGCTCTGCAACTTACAGACTGAGACCGGGAGCACATCACCTTGCTCAGAAAAATGATCATAAGACCTACCCCACTGAATGTGGCGGCTGTAACGGGAGACATTTGCTCATTTATTCACCGAATCTTCGAGAACTCACTGCATGTTGAGCCCTGGAAGTGCAAGAGTTTTGAAATCAGAAGAGCACCACATTGGCTGGAGGGAAGAGGTGGTCTTATCTCGAGAAGCAGAGTTCCTGGGGGTGAAGGGTAGACAGGGGAGAGGCCAGGAGGGGCTGCAGTCCTCTGGGGGCATGTGCCTAGGCAGCAAGAAGCACAGGAACTGGGAGCTTCCCACATCATTGGGGTGCCAGTCGCTTCTGCCTGCAGGGACCACTGCCTACTGTGCCTTCAGGCAACTTTGCTGTCAGCCCGAGATCCCAGATTGCACTGTTGAGATGGTTGTTCAGAGAGCCAGCAAACAGAAGTCCCCCTGGAGAGCTGTCTTTTGTGGGGGAGATTTGCACTGCAGAGATGCAACCAGGCCTTCTCCAAGGCCCTCCCTTGTCCGGATCTAGGAAGGATTCACTGAGAGTCTGACATGTGTAAAGGTCTGAAAAAGAATCATCCCTGTAATCCCAGCACTTTGGAAGGCCGAGACAGGCAGATCACCTGAGGTCAGGAGATGGAGACCAGCCTGGCAACATAGTGAAACCCATCTCTACTAAAAATATAAAAATTAGCCGGGCATTGTGGCACATGCCTGTAATCCCAGCTACTCGGGAGGCTGAGGCGGGAGAGTAGCTAGAACCCGGGAGGCAGAGGTTGCAATGAGCCTAGATCACACCACTGCACTCCAGCCTGGGCGATAGAGCAAGACTCCATCAAAAAAAACGGGGGTGGGGGGAATGATCATCTATTCTCTCTGAGGGCTGCTAACTGTGGGGTTTCATCTGCATAACAAGATCACCTTGGTTAGCCAGGACTCCCTTTCTCCCCTGCAATAATCTCTTTTGCCACCGTAACCTGAGGTTCCACCACAGCCTGGTTCGGGCTGTGCTCTGACCCCCATTCTCTCTGTAACTGTTGGATGGGATGTGAGCTTCTGTGCCTCGCTGCAGATGGTGGGGTCATCACTCCACAGTTCTCCCCGTGCTTGTGTTGATCTGTGTGCCTTTATTCCAGTTAATCTCCTGTGAGCTGACTTTTCAGCAAACCTTCCGAGGAAGAAGGGGATGTTTTTTCTTTGTCCTCTACAGCATTCTGTGCCTCAGAGTACTCCTTAAACCTGCCTGGGTAAGCCCAGCGTGGAAAAAGGAGAAATCTAGTACACAGCCTCCTTCAGTACCTGTCCCTCCAGCGTTAGCCACCAGCCCTGGAGAGGCCCAGGCCACCAGGGGATGCATCCCTGAGAGCTGCCCCCAGGGTGGCATCCATGTTCCCTCTAATCCTGAGATGGCTCGCCAGGGAGCCCACAGCTGAAATCTGAAGGCAATATGCTCTGAAGACTTCCTGCTTTCCCAGAACACCACCCAGAGATGGCCATGTCCTCTGGCCCTGCATCAGAGTGATGGAAGCTCAAGGATGTCAGTGATTCCAGTGCTGGCAGAGATCACGGCTCGGTCCAGTCATCGTCTCTTTCTCCTCACTCCCCACTTCACAGTGGCCAATGACACCTTGCATGTGGTCATCAGAAGAAGCCACCTTTTCTCTAGAGGCAACACCCACACCTGGAACACATCTCTTTCCCAAGGAACCTACGGTGCCTTCACAGGAGGGTGTGTGGCTGCCACAGGGCATCAGGCTGGACTCTGAAGCACCCTGCTGTCCTCAGGCCAAGATGCCTTTCCAGCACAGTGAAGCTAGAACTAGGGTCTGGAAACATCACATCAGCCCTTTGCATGAAATCGGAAGACTAAGCCCCTCGTCTTCACAACTCACTGGCTCTATGACTTTGGAAGAAGCTCCGAACCTCTTGGTGTCTTCAATTCATCATCCAGAAAAGGAGTATCATAACACTGTACTCACAAGGATCAAAATAGCATCCCAGGTAGGAAAATGCTGTGAATTACAAGAGCTGGGAATGTCAGTTGCTAGTAGTCATATATGAACCACGTTGAGGGAAGGAGGAGAGAAGGTGAAAGGTGCTTACACCTATTTACAATCTTGAATTCCTGGACTCTAAGCTGGTGTTTATATTTTCCAGCTAGCTCATCATGAGATGTTCACTTGTGACCATTTAGTCTCTAAAAATGAATTCCCATCTGGAATCCAAGACCGTGGCTGGCCTGAACCCTGGGCCCACATCACACTTCTAAGAAGGAAGCTAGAATGGCCCCTAGGGAATAGCCTGTGTCAGGACGGTTAACAAGCACCCCTGCTCTCTACATTTAGAGCCTGGAAAAACTTAGTTGAAACCTAAAATGAACTGAACCTTGGCCCGTGGATGTTTCCAGGTAAACTGAAACCCTCATCCACACCGTTAGCCCAGTGTTTCTTCAACCTAGTGATGCTTACCCGCCCTGATTCCTTGTGCCAGTGTACCCTGGCGTGTGAGGAGGCATTCCAAGGACTGATGGCTTTGAGCTGGCTGGTGACATTTTGGAAGCTGTGGTGCCAGCCACCATTAGGGAAACCCTACACTGATTCACTGACTCTTCTGGGTAAGGGTACAAGCTCTTCTTGGTAGGAATCTAAGAGAAGAGCTATCCTGGTTGTATTGGAAAGAAGATGGTCTTTGGAGCCAGACAAATCCTGATTTAGTATGGACTCCAGAATGCCTGTGTAGACAGGATTTGGGGCACCAATCTCAGTGAAAGGGGAAGACAGGGAACACATACTGAAGCTTCCTTTTTGCCTCCTGCAGGTTCTTCCGACTTAGATTGTGTGTTTATTTGGGGTGATTGTGGAGAAGGGGCTGCTGCAGATGATGGGTGAAGCTAACACCTCCCAAATCAGCCCTTGATAATGTCACTGACTGGATTCAAATTCAGCAACTACCACTTACCGGCTATGTGACTCTGGGTGAGTAACCTAGCATCTCGGAGCTACTGTTTCCTCATTTGTAAAATGAGAAGAATAATCCCACTCTGGCAGGGTTTTTGTGGGGGATTACATGAGCTAGCATATGGGAAAGGGCTTAGCACAATGCAAGCCTATAATAGGCTCTCAGCATATGCAAGTTTCTTTCCTTCTTTCCATCGCTGATCCCCAGATGCCTCAGGATCCTAATGAAGAATCCAGATGAGGACCGAGATCTAGAAAGTTCTGTTTTTAAAGTTAGATTTGTGGAGGGGGGTGGCCTTGGATTTTGTTGCCCACCATTAAGTGTGTTTCAAGAGGGCGCCACATCTGTCCTGCACATTGTAAGTCCAGAACACCAGGCCGCTGGCCTACTTGAAAGGGAGCCTCACAGGCTCAGCTACACAGGCAGCCCCAGTCCTGAGGATGAAAAAGCCACCATAGCAAATGAATTAGGCCAGCGGTTTTCCTAATGTCTAGAGGCGGCAGAATCTTCCTGCAGTGGGATTTTTTTTAACGGCTTTTTCTCTCCTGGTTTTTGTGTTTTTTGTTTTTTTCCCCTTTGTCGCTGAACTCCTGAGTCTGGACAAGACACAGGAAGATAGAATAGAAGGAGAAAGAAGGAGACATTATGAGTACATGCCCCAGTACCAAGTTCTTTGCAAGGAATCTCTGGAGACTCCTCGTGGAACTCATGGGGCCGGCAGAAAACTACTGACTTTGCTACTGGCCAGCACTCACTGGTTCATTCATTCATTCATTCATTCAGGAAGCGTTTGCTGAGGGAGCCTGAGCTCTCTGGGAGATGTTAATACGTGATAGTCCCAGTCCCTACATTCTAAGGATTTGTTTCAAATAACAAGAGATGAGACTCAGAAAACAATACCCCAAAATGGAGGCCTTAGCAGTAGCCTCAGAAGCAAAAGTTCTTCTCTGATCTTCTCCTGCCTTCCTATCTCTTGCCCCTCATTCTCCCCGAGGCCAGCCATAAATACTAGAATTCCCCTACCCCAAGGCAGGTATAGAAACCAGAACCCCTTTTCCCCAAAGCCAGCCATAAAACCTAAAATATGACTCTAGCTTTCCCTCCATCTGTCTTTGTAAAAACTGGCCATAAAGAAATCATCTGACCTATGTTGTTTGACCATAGGTCATAAGACCCCCATTCCAGAAAGGGTCCTGTCCCAGGCCCAGAAGTAAGGAATGCTGCATGGATACCAGGAAGAATTGAGGCAGACAGGCCTTGCTATGTCTTCCCAGTCACTCAGCTAAGATTCGATCAGACCCTTTTTGTCTGGTTATATTTCTACACGACTGTCCACACTTTCTTGAACCTAAGTATAAAAGTGGACAATTTCCTCTCTATCTTTCGGTCTTCATTCTGAAGGCTCCTGTGTATATAGGTTAAATAAGTGTGTATGCCCTTTCTCCTATTAATCAATCTGCTTCATGTCAGTGATTTTCCAGTGAACCTCTGACAAGCAATGCTGGCTCAATTAGAAATAGAAATTTGCAGGCTGGGCATGGTGGCTCACACCTATAATCCCAGCACTTTGGGAGGCTAAGGCAGGTGGATCACCTGAGGTCAGGAGTTCGAAACCAGGCTGGCCAACATGGTGAAACTCTGTCTCTTAAAAATACAAAAATTAGCCAGGCGTGGTATCACATGCCTGTAGTCCTAGCTGCTCAGGAGGCTGAGACAGGAGAATCACTTGAACCTGGGTGACAGAGCGAGACTCCACCTCAAAAAAGAAAGAAAACAGAAATTTGCAAAATTATCAGCTGTGAGACCTCGGCCAGTGGATTATGAAGCCACACACCCCGAATGTTGTTCCCTTGCAGGGACCCAGCCCCTCCCTTGAGAATCCAGGTTCCTAACTTCTGGTCTCCCACGCCCTCCGTGCTATGCAGTGTCAGCCCAGTGTCTGGCTCACAGCAGCCCTGGTGAGTATCCCTTGGGGAGTACCTTTACCACCTGTGTATTACAGCTTCCCAAGGATAAGGAGTAAGGGAAAGAAGCCATTTAAACAAAATTACTTTTGAAACACAGATGAGCTCACAATCTAGAAAAAAAATGGTGCTTGGCAAGAAATGTTTAGGATTTGGTAGATTCTGAAGTTCACATTGTTTGATGCTTCCACAAACCTGCTGCTTCTCCTCTTCCCTAAACATCAGCTCCCAAGAGAGCAAGTCAGCCCAGGGCTCTCTGGGCAACGGCAGTTCCTCAGATAACATGCAGCCTTTTCTGGAAGGCCCGTTCCCTTAGCGCTCAGCTCAGCACCTATCCAGAGCAGCTTCTCACCATGGTTTCCCTAACAATAGATTCCACACGCACATAGGGTGATAGAGGGTCCGTTCAGCTGACCATGTTTCCCAGCAACGGACAATAAGATTCCTCACTGGGGAGTGAAGGAGTCTTCTGACCCGGGATTCCCCTTGTCTCTAATGAGCCACTGGGGGCCATGGTACAGGCAGCCAATCCTAAGGGCTCTCCCTCTCCTCTTGCTCTTCTGCCTGTTTTCTCAGTCTGCACACTGCTTGGTTTACGGTGCCTGGAGATCCTCAAGCCGAAAAGACGCTCGCCCCTGACTTCTCTGATTCCAGGGTTCTTTACTTCCTAATGTCCACCCTGGTTGATAATCAGCTTGAAGGAAGACACAACCAAAACCCTACCTTTACACCGGCTATGAATGGGATCAGAGGATTCTGGTACAGGTTTGTTAGGCCAAGTGGGACATATCCAAGGCCTCATAAGAAAGGAGGCTGGATCTAGCTCCAGAGCCACTTCTGGAGGTCTGGATAAGAACGGGAAAAGCTTGCCTCCCATTTGCAATTCTCAGACCAGTACTGGGTGGTCTTAAAGCCTCAGGGTCAGTGAGGAGGCCCCAGGCCAAATTCTGGTTCAAACTGTGGGCCCAAACAGATAGGCTTTCATTATGGTAGAGAAAAAATGTATCAAGTGTAGTGGGTGTTTGTTTTGGTTTTTAGAATATTAATATGGTTTAATATAGTCGTCTGGAGGGTTCAGAAGAATGACACACGTAGCAGAGTTCTTGGCGCCCAGTAGGAACTCAATAAATGGTAGCTATTGAATTTCCCTCTTCTCTCTACAGCAGGAAGTGCAGACCTGCCCACCCTGGACCTTCCTCCTTGGGAGCCTGATGCATTTTGCAGAGAAGCTGCCCTTCCCCCAACTCAGCCACCTCAGAGTGTTGGTTGTGTCCCCTGCACCTGTAACTGGGTCATCTCTTTATCGCCCGCACTCAGCAGAGGAAATCAAATGAGTGTTAATTGAGGGCTGGGTTCGTCAGAACTACTGCTCTTTTCTGGTGTGCTTTATTTAAGTGTAAGCCAATCCAAGCTTACCATGGGGTTTCCATGTAACTGAGAGTTCCCAGTGCTTTGCGGCAGCGCTCGCCTTCATTCCAGACAAAGCATAATGAGACGCAATCTCACATTACCTAATCACATGGAGGCAGCGCGGATCACAATGCTGTATTTGGCATTTCTGTGGTGCGCTCCATCTGAGGAGCTCAAAGAGCTTAAAGAAAACCCTTTCTTTATTTGGGAAGTATTATTATCTGGGTTTTACAGAGAGAGATACCGAGAGGTGAAGTGACCTGCTTTAAGACCACACAGCAAGACGTCTCTGGGCTGAGAGGGAGCCCAGCAGCTGACAGGCCCTCCTTGGCCAGACTTCACAGGCTCAAAACAGAAAGCTGCTCACACAGAGCCTGTCCTCACCAGGCCCCGTGGGGAACTCACGCAAGAGACGGAACTCAATAGCAGAGACGAAAGCAGAGGGAATTTAAAAGCATCAGCCAGAGGAAAGGTGTGTAAAGACCTGGCTCAGCCTCAAGAGAGCAGACTGCAGGATGCGAGTTGCGCTGACGGAACATGAAGCCGTGAACTGTGTTCAGCAGGTATTTCTTCAGCTTGCTTCGTGGATTGACCCCCAGAGAGAACGCTTTTATCACCTTGCCTCTCTGTGACAACATTATTTTTAGTAATAGCCATGAAATGAAACAACAAAAATAATGGATAGTAGAGAAAAGCAGTGAAATTTCTCTCTTACTGACCCTTCTGTGGATGGCTATGCCCATAAAATAGAAAAATAAATAAAGTAGTGGATTAACATCTTGAACTACATTTTTGTTAGTTAGCTTTTTTTTTTTTTTAATGGAAATACACTTAGAGTTACATACTGGTCTATTGTAGTAATGAGTAATGACATGGTGGTCTCTGTTTTAACTCTTCATCATTTTAATTTGTCCGTGACCTTGAAAACAAAATTGATCTTGTTCCATGAACAGTTTTCCACCTACCTTGGTTCCTGGTCAACCACAGAACACTGTTTAGTGACTTTAATTGTGAAAAGCCTCTTTCACATTAAGCAATGTACATGCAGTCTACAGCCACGCCAGCCTGAATGCACCCGATCTCATCTGATCTTGGAAACAATAGATACACAAATTGTTATGGAAAACATTAAGCAACAGAATACGCATGGCAAAGATTCATAAAAGTCTAATTTCACAATAAATTCTATAAATTGCAATAGATCCCACAACTCTGTTTCTCCAGTCAATTTTGTTGTCTTTCAGATGCCTCCATGGCTGAAAAATTATGAACACAAATAAAAATGCCAAGTGATTACATAGACTGGCAGAACTGGAGTAACTCAGGTTTCATATAAAGGCACTCACAGAAACAATAACATGGTAAAATATACAAGAATGAAACAAATTCAGAGTTTGGAAAGAGAAGTAAGAGGAAGCCAAGCCAGAGAGGGAAAGGCACTTTCAGTTACCTGCACACTGACGTAGTTGCTGTGGTTGGACCACAAAGTTAGCTCAACAGTCCAGGCTTCCTGGCAGCCAAAGAAAAAAGGGAGATACGTCCTGCCGTTCATATTGACAGAAAAATGGCCACTTTGAAAGAGGCTAAAGAATAGCCCTTGTCAACCCATGTGGAGGCTTCCACAGAGGGGCTGGCTGAGTCCACGGAGGGTCGTCCGGAACTACAGCACACTTTGATTCTGCTTGTTTTTCACATATTTGTTTCAGACCAGGAGAAGGTGAACTTGAAAAAGAAGTCCCAGATGCCCTGTGAACAACCATTAGAAAGTAAGTATTTAAAAGATGGATTTTACTAAGAAACTAGGAAAATGGTGTTCAACACATTTTAGAACTGAGATTGAATAAATGACAACGCTTGACTAGATCAAGAATAATGAAGAAGAGGAAGAAAAGAGCTGGAGAGCAACAAGGGGCTTCATATTCCTTTTGAGCTGGTTAAATACCACTGTCTTCTGTTGAGACTCCCCGCAAAGGGGTGATCCAGGCAGAACTCAGCCTGCAGAAAGCCTGCACCATCTTTAAAGAGCTCAGTGCTTGCTTAGATTAAGGTGATGTAAAATGAACTAATGCATATCTAAACAACCCATGAGTCAAAACAAGAATCACAATGGAAATTAGGAAATAGATCAATCAAAAGGTAAAACATATCCAGATTTAAGGGATGCCCCCAAAGCATGCATAAGAGAAATTTACAACCTTGAATGCTTTGCTAGAAAAGAAGAAAAGATGAAGAAACAATGAACTAAGTTTCATCTGAAGATTTTAATAAAAGAAGAACAGCATATTAAACCCTAAGATAATATAAGAATGGAAATAATAAATATAATAATGTCAGATATAGATTTAGATTATTAGATTATTATGTCAGATTTAATAGACATAATAACCTCATGTCTATTAAAGAAATAAAATCCTTAATGAAAACCCTTTCCACCAAAACAAAAACAAAACTCCAGGCCCAGGTGGCCTCACCAGGAATTCTTCAAAAACCCTTAAAGAGGAAGTAACATAAGTCTTCACAAAAGCTCTCTAGAAAATACAAATGACTTCTTGACTCATTTTTGTTATAGCCTTGATACCTGACAAGAAAAGAAAATGGTGATTTCTTTCTCCTGAACATGTATGCTAATCTTGAACAAAATGTTATCGAACTGAATTCAGCAATATACAAACAGGACAGCACATCACACCCAGGATGATGCGTCTTCCAGAAATGCAAGATTATTTCAGGGTTCAAAAATCAATCACTGTCATTTACCACAGGAACCAATAAAGAAGAAAATCATTGATTAACTCAGTAGATTCAGAAAAAGCATTTGATAAAATTCAACTCCTGGTGATAATAAAAGGAAGAAAGAAATGTTTAGGAAAGTAAGAACAGAAGGGAAATGCTTTAGCATGACAGAGCATCGACAAAAAGTCTCCAGCAAATATCATGTAAACGTTCAATATTGATGCCTTTCCCCAGATATTGAGAATAAAAGAAAGAGGCTTCCTATGTATCACCACTTCTATTCACTATCACATTGGAGGTCCTAGACTTTGCAGTAAAGCAAGAAAACAAAATTTTAAGAAATGGAAAGAAAAAAATGCCATTATTGACAGACTGTATCATTGCATATGTAGAAAATACAAACTAATTTGTAGGAAAACTAAAAGATTAATAAGTAAATTCAGCAAGGTTCTTGGATTGAAATATCAATATACAAAGTCAGTTGTATTTATATATAACTGAAATAAAAATAGAATTGAAAAGTTGGACTACATTAAAATTTGGGTCTTCTTTTCATCGAAAGACTATTAAGAGTAAAAAGAAATGCTACAGAGAAGATATTTACAATCCATGTAAATGACAAGTGACTCATATCCAGAAAATATAAGGAACTCCTACAAATCACCAGGAAAGAGAGACAACCCAATAGAAAAATGGGCAGGACACCTGAATAAGCCAACAGATACACAGATGGCCAACAGCATTTGAAAAGCTGCTCCACGTCGTTAGTCATCGGGGAAGTGCAAACTGAAAGGCATTCATCAGCATGGCGAAGGTGAAAAAAGACCAACCATATCAAGTGTCGGTGAGGATGTGGATCCCTCAGGACCCTCATAGCTGAAAGGGAACTGGTACAGCCACTTTGCAAAACGATGTAAGCAGTATTTACTAAAGCTGAACATCCACATACCTTATGAACCCTCAATTCCATTTCTCGATATGTACCACACCAAAATGTATGCACCAAAACACATGTACAGGTGACCCTTGAACAACACCGGTTTGAACTGCGTGGGTCCACTTATACACAGATTTTCTTCCACCCCTGCCATTCCTGAGACAACAAGACCAACCCCTCTTCTTCCTCCTCCTCCTCAGCCTACTCAGTGTGAAGATGGAGAGGATGAAGACCTTCAGGATGATTCACTTCTACTTAATGAATAGTAAATATGTTTTCTCATTCTTATAATTTTCTTAAAAATATTTTCAAGCCAGGCATGGTGGCTCATGCCTGTAAGCCCAGCATTTTGGGAGGCCAAGACAGGCAGATCACAAGGTCAGGAGTTTGAGGCCAGCCTGGTCAACATGGTGAAACCCTGTCTCTACTAAAATACAAAAAATTAGCTGGGTGTGATGGTATCCACCTGTAATCCCAGCTACTTGGGAGGCTGAGGCAGGAGAATCATTTGAACCCAGGAGGCAGAGGTTGTAGTGAGCCGAGAGTACACCACTGCACTCCAGCCTGGGAGACAGAGTGAGACTCTGTCTCTAAAAAAGAAGTATTTTCTATTTTCTAGCTTACTTTACTACTGTATATACATTCAAAATATGTGTTAATCAATTATTAATGTAATCAGTAAGGCTTCTGGTCAATAGTAAGTAGTTAAGTTTTGGGAGAGCCAAAAGTTAAACATGAATTTTTTTACTGCTCCAACCCTCATTGCTGAAGGATCAACTATCCAAGAACATCCCAGGTAGCATTATTTGTCATAGGGCAAAATTAAAATATACACAAATAACCAGCAGCTGAAATATGTATAAATAAATTATAATACGTCCATACTATGAAAATCCTTATAGAACTAAAAATGTACAAACTACTTGTACATTAATGACATTAGATCAACCTTACAGACATAATACTGAGTGGAGAAAAAAGTCAGACAAAAAGAGTGTATAATGTAGAATTCTATTTTTATAAAATTCACAAGCTAGCAATCAAACATTTGGTGACAAAAATGGTCACCGTTGGGAAAAAGGTTATTGGAGGAGGCTTGAAATTTTTCTGATGCTGGTAATATCCTAGCTCCTGATTTGGGTTGTTACACGGGTGTGTTCACTTTTATTTTATTTTATTTTTTTTTTTTTTTGAGGCAGAGTTTCACTCTTGTTACCCAGGCTAGAGTGCAATGGCGCGATCTCGGCTCACTGCAACCTCCGCCTCCTGGGTTCAGGCAATTCTCCTGCCTCAGCCTCCTGAGTAGCTGGGATTACAGGCACGCACCACCATGCCCAGCTTATTTTTTGTATTTTTAGTAGAGACGGGGTTTCACCGTGTTGACCTGGATGGTCTCGATCTCTTGACCTCGTGATCCACCCGCCTCGGCCTCCCAAAGTGCTGGGATTACAGGCGTGAGCCACCGCGCCCGGCCGTGTTCACTTTTATAATTACCCATTTAGTTCTACACTATGCCTGTCTTTATGTACATAATACTTCAATTTTTTTTTTTTTTTTTTTGAGATGCAGTTTCGCTCTTGTTGCCCAGGCTGGAGTGCAATGGCACTATCTTGGCTCATCCAACCTCCACCTTCCAGGTTCAAGCGATTCTCCTCCCTCAGGCTCCCGAGTAGCTGGGATTACAGGCATGTGCCACCACACCTGGCTAATTGTTTTATATTTTTAGTAGAGATGTAGTTTCTCCATGTTAGTCAAGCTGGTCTTGAACTCCCAACCTCAAGTGATCTGCCCACCTTGGCCTCCCAAAGTGCTGGGATTACAGGCGTGAGCCACCATGCCTGGCCAATACTTCAATTTTTAAAAGTTTATTTACTCACTAGCTGTGTGATAGTGGCAAGGTACTTAACCAGCATAAGTCTCTGCTCTCCACTGAACTGATATAACCATGACTACTTCAAAGGATCGCTCTGAAATATAAATGAAATAATGTAGGCGAAAAGCTTAGCACAGGACCTGGCTGATAAACAACAGTACTTTATAATAACCATTGGAGATTTTATTTGATTGTTTATTTCTGGGATTATCCAGGTTTGACCACTTGCAGACAGCAGTCAGGTCTCTTCCTGGGCACACCTGTCAGCAGCAAACCTGAGATTTTTCAAAGCCTCCTGGGATACCAGCCTCAGACTGTGTTTAGGGCTGGGCGGCATGGCTCACGCCTTTAATCCTAATGCTTTGGGAGACTGAGGTGGGCAGATCACTTGAGGTCAGGGGTTCAAGAGCAGCCTGGCCAACATGGTAAAACCCTGTGTCTACTAAACATACAAAAATTAGCCAGAAATCGCTTGAACCTGGGAGGCAGAGGTTGCAGTGAGTGGAGATCATGCTACTGCACTCCAGCCTAGACAACAGAGCGAGACTGTCTCAAAAAACAACAACAACTGTGTTTAGAGGCCCCTGGTCCTCATACTTGCAGAGGCTCACCTCCTAATGCAGAGTGTTGAGGGATCGAACTACTTGGAGGTGGAGATTGAGCTTCTGTTGTCCAAACAAGCTCAGGCCTCAAACCGCCTTCCCAGAGGCAGCCCTTTAGATGCCCCGAGACAGGCAAACGCAATCATGTGATCCAAAGGAAGTCCCATAGAGCTGAGGTGTCCCTGAGAGAGGGAGGGAGTTCAGGCACCTGCGTCTGCAGCCCCTTAGCCTCAGAGAAGGGAGAAGGGAGAGCATCCAAGGCAAACCCAACGTGAGGCTTTGGGTGGCAGGGGAGTGCATAATGAACGCCTCGTTGCGGCACCTCAGTGATAATGTGTGTATTGTGAGGGCATCCCAAGCAGCACACAGACTCCATTCATCCTGTGCACAAACAGGACTCTGCAGACCCAGCTGCTTCTCTGGAAGCCATGGGAGGTTATTAAATATGAGCGACAGCTGCTTTTTGCCAATTCACATTTTTTTAAGGCTCATGTTTTTCCTGCTCTTGCCTTTTTGACTTAGAGTCCCTGTCTCGGACTTGGCTTTGTCCAGTTATTTCTTCATTTTGAGAGATAGCATCTTCAAATGCAGACATTGCCCAACTCTTTCCCCATTATAAATATCACCTGAGGTTTTTTTTTGAGATGGAGTCTCACTCTGTTGCTAGGCTAGAGTGCAGTGGCGCAATCGCAGCTCACCGCAACCTCCGCCTCCCAGATACAAGTGATTCTTCTGCCTCAGCCTGCCGAGTAGCTGGGACTACAGGTTCATGCCACCACACCCAGCTAAATTTCTCTTTATCTATGCAATAAGCTCTTTTTTTTTTTTTTTTTGAGACGGAGTTTCGCTCTTGTTACCCAGGCTGGAGTGCAATGGTGCGATCTTGGCTCACCGCAACCTCCGCCTCCTGGGTTCAGGCAATTCTCCCGCCTCAGCCTCCTGAGTACTGGGATTACAGGCACGCGCCACCATGCCCAGCTAATTTTTAGTAGAGACGGTGTTTCACCATGTTGACCAGGATGGTCTCAATCTCTTGACCTCATAATCCACCCACCTCGGCCTCCCAAAATGCTGGGATTACAGGCTTGAGCCACTGCGCCCGGCCACAATACGCTCTTAATAGCAGTTCCACGTTCTGTCCACCCCAAGTTTCTTACCCTTTCCTTTCCTACAGGCTCAACACTTCCAACTCTAAAGCTGTGGTACCCTCTCTGCATTCCCATGATGCTGAGATAATGCCCTGAGCCAGGCTTCACACTCCTACAGGGATTAGGGGCAGGGGGAAATCTGGCTAAATGACATGTTATTTAACTCAAATTCAAGTCGATTTCTTTTGAAAAACTGTGCGATGACTAGTAACACACAGAGGTAACTCAAAGCTGTTCTGCAAAATCACTACAAACTTCCAAAACAGTATTTTGAGGGTTACAAGCACTACCAATAACCTTGCCTTAAAACACCATAGGCCGGGCGTGGTGGCTCACGCCTATACTCCCAGCACTTTGGGAGGCTGAGGCGGGTGGATCACGAGGTCAAGAGATTGAGACCATCCTGGTCAACAAGGTGAAACCCCGTCTCTGCTAAAAATACAAAAATTAGCTGAACATGGTGGTGCACGCCTGTAGTCCCAGCTACTCGGGAGGCTGAGTCAGGAGAATTGCTTGAACCCAGAAGGCGGAGGTTGCGGTGAGCCAAGATCGCGCCATTGCACTCCAGTCTGGGTAACAACAGTGAAACTCCGTCTCAAAACAAACAAACAAACAAACAAAAAAGCAAACACCATAATATGCCATTTAAGAGTATTTTTTCTGGTCAGTATTTCTCCATAATCCTTTATCCAGGGGCTACTGCTCAGAATTTGGAGTTAGAACATCTGAGCCTTGTCTGAGTTCTGATTTTAATGCGTTGTAGGAGATATCTCCATCGAATTGTGTTTCTTCATATTTCATACACACTGATGATAATGTCACATACACTGATGGTAATGGCTTACCTATTTTCCTTACTTGATCATCTCATGGGGCCATAGAAAGATCCCAGAGCAGGGATGACAGGAGTTTCATTGAATGAATAAATGAGTGAGTGAATGAATGAGGGAATTGGTGCCACATTAAGAAAGGCAGTTTTACTAAGAATTAGAAACAAATGTTGGATCTTTTAAAAAAAATAAATCCCATAAGGTGTGAGGCTGAGATCCTATGAAGTGGTGCCGAATTTGGAGGCAGAGTCCTGCCAGGAGAATGTTCTTCTCTGCTGGTGTCTGTGCTGACCCTCTGCACAATCTGCTAGTTGCTCAAAAAGACACATTGGTGATCTTCATTTGAGTTTCTGCTGCTTTTGTCTTTCAGAGCATTGTTGGATCAGGACTGCCGGGAAGCAGAATTTGATGACAGCTTTTGGGTTTGACTTGCCAGTGAGCACGTTTGGCCGGGTGTGGGGCTTCCATGGTGTAGCTGGCCCACGGCCTTGAATTTCTTCCAGTTTTCAATGGGTCCACTGCATTTCCCAAATGGACTCTTGCAAAGGGCGTCTCACAAGCCTGTGTGTGTAAGCATACGTGCGTGCGCACGTAGAGAACAGCCCCCTTCTTGGATGTCCAGCCTTTAAGATGACATCAAATCACCCTCATCACCATCCGCAAACATGCCTTGAGCACTCAGTATTGCAAAGCACCGTTCTAGATGTCATGAAGAATGCAACAAAATAGGGCTCCTTCTGTGGCTTTCAGAGGTTTACAGACTCAGGCAGATAAAATCAATAACATCCCATTTCTATCAGTCCAGTTTCTTGATTGTATGCCTTGGAAATCAACTCTGGTTAAGCTGTATTCCAGGTGGGAGGACCTGATAAGCTTTCTTCCAGGTAAGGTGACACTAGATGCATGTGTCTGGAATGCAGCTCGAGGAAGTTAGTCATATCTGGAGAAGGGTGTGTCTAATGACCCAGGTGGGAAACTGAGCACTCACAGAATGTGACCACAAAAAACGATGTCGAAGCCAGGCACAGTGGCTCATGCCTGTAACCCCAGCACTTTGGGAAGGCAAGGTGGGCAGATCACAAGGTCCGGAGTTCAGAACCAGCCCGGCCACCATGGCGAAATCCCATCTCTACTGAAAATACAAAAATCAGCTGAGCATGGTGGTGGCTGCCTGTAATCCCAGCTACTCAGGAGATTGAGACAGGAGAATTGCTTGAACCCAGGAGGCAGAGGTTGCAGTGAGCCAAGACTGTGCCATTGCTCTCCAGCCTGGGCAACAGAGCAAGACTCCATCTCAAAAAATAAAAATAAAAAAAGATATAGGACAAATGCTCATCTTTGAAAAAGTGTGAAGGAGAGTGTTCTGACTACTTGAACTTAGGAGGTGGAAAGAGCAATTTTAAGTAGATATGGAGGAACTGCTCATGCATCACACCCTCACTCCCCAGAAATAGCAGACGCAAGCCCCCACTGGACACAGAGGGCAGGGTGGGGCCCAGTGAGCAGCATGACACTGATGATGACGGTCAAGAGCCCGGTCTCTGAGAGCAGAAATGAATCTGCCTGCAAAAGAACTCCTTGCCCTTCAGCAAGAAGGGTACATGGTGCCATCAGAAAAAGAGGCAGGAGCCAAAGCGCTTAATTACATCAGTTCGTTCTGTAAAACGAAGATGCTGGACCCTTCCCTGCCAAACGCAAATGGATGTTGATAATAAACCAAGATAAGATAAGTATAGGGAAGAGGGCACAGTGTATGAGAAGACACGGGATCTGGTGCTACAACCATGATTTACTAGCTATGCGACCTTGGGCAAATCATTTAAGTTTTCTGAGTCTATTTGCTCTTCAATAAGATGAAGATGGTAATTCTGGGCAGGTAAAAAACAAACGAGATACAATGCATGTAAAAGTCATTGATAGATTATATAAAGTGCACCGCCAGGGTAAGGAACCATGCTTATTCTCCTTTAAAAATGCATGCGGATGTCATCAGTAAACTGCAACGAAAGGTTTAAGGATGTTCATCAATGACTGGTTTCCATGGTTACTTCCCCTGCCTTACACCCAGGCTGCTGGCCTGTTCCTGAAGTTTCTGCTGGGATCCTGCTTGCCACCAGAATAAGCCAGTGGCCAGAGGACCCCTGGAGCCCGCCTCTCCCTGGGCCAGCATGGAGGCGATACATTTTTTGCATTGACCCAGGAGAAAGCCCCAGCAACAAAGGCCAATTTAAATCACAAATGTTCCTGCAGCATATTCCTGGGGCTACGCAAAGCACCACAGTCCCTCGGAGGGAAAAGGGATGGGCTGGCTGAATGGGAGCTGAAATATGCCCATCCGGCCCAGGGAATGTCAGAGTGCACCCCAGCTGACCACATGAAACGGTCTCTATGAAATGCAGATGTTTGGTAGGGTTGGGTGCTGCTTCCCTCGTAATTTAAAAGCCTTCCATGCCTGCTGCTTACTTCCAGACTTCTTCCTCCCACACTGTTTGGCTCAGTGGGTTCGAGAGGGTGTTTTGGGGTGTCTAGATAACAGTGCACTGTGGTGGGGTTTATTAACATCAGCTGTTCTTCCCAACTCCTGCAGAACGCTGCCTCATAGTCCATATTTAATGTTTAAATTAAAGTGAATTAAAATTAATTTTGTTGGAGGAATTCTGCAGCTCCCTCTTGAGATAAGTGGAAACACCCTGGGGTGATATAAAATTGAGCTTGGGAATTGCTGCATTGGAGTGCTGCGCTAATGAGGTGAAGGTCAGGGGTTCAATCCCCTTGGGAAGGGAGCAGTTAATTTCACTCTCCCTCATGGCCTCAGATTCCACCCTTAACCCTGGCCATCTGCCTCCAAGAGGAGCCACTAGTCACCAGCACACAGGACAAAGTAAGATAGAGGACCAGATCCGTGCATATCCATCAAACCTCTTAGAATGACAACTCAAAGCATGACCCACGGGTAATGTGCTAGGATTTTTAATTTTGCAGATGACAGCACTATTATATTATTACTTTATGTTAGAGTAAACACATACGAATATGGACAAGACCAATGAATCAGATGTCATGGGTTCCAAAATCTCTAAGGCTCTTAGTTCCCAAGAGTTTAGCTAACTTGTTAGAGAGACAGCTTAATAAACATGTTGTGTATGTCATGGTCACACAGTCAATCTTTGCTGAGCCTTAAGAGGAAGAGAAGTGCTGTGGGTGCGTATGCCCAAACAAAAGAGCACCAACGGCACTCATATTTAGTTTGGAAGAGGCGATACAACTTAAGAACAACAGATTGCCCTCCTTAATTACGTTTTTCTTTATCTAATAGTAATATTAGTTTGCATTCCCCTGAACATGTTGACTGATTGCAGAAAAGAGAGCCCAATGCTCAGGAAGGGAGGAACTTCAGGATTAAGCATTTGTCAGGGATAATCCACCAAACAGAGATAAGCCAACTTCACTAATCAAAAGCTATCTGTATCCTACTAATTAGCAATTACCATTGTCCTTGTTAGAAAATAGAATTTTAGGCCATTGAATGTTCTCTAGTTCACTCCCATCTCTTGTGTATCCAGGTTCTACTTTTTCCCAAAGACCCGTCTAGCCAGGGCAACACTGGCCTCCCCCGGCTGGGGCCTTCTGCAGCACTTAGGCTGAATTGTGGCTTACATACTGTGTTACCTTAGTGCTTGAGGGCAAGGCCCAAGTTTTTTGGGTTCCTATATGTCTCACGGGGCCTAGAACACCACTGAACACCCCATAGGTGCTTAATAAAAGCATGCTCATTAACATTGACAGACTAATTACAGTAAGGGATAATGAAGAATTCCCACCCTCTTCCCCATTTGACAAAATTCAACACCCATTCATTAGAAAAACTCCCAGAAAAATAGGAATGGGAGGACTTCCTCAACTTGCTAAAAAGCATCTATAAGACCCCATAGCTAACATTATATTTGATGATGAAAGGCTGAATGCTTTTCCCCTAAGATCAGGGAGAGGCAAGAATGACCACTCTACGCTACCATTCCTATTCAACTTCCTACTGGAAGTTCTGCCGGTGGAGCAAAGCAAGAAAAGAAAAAAGAAAAGCAGACGGTTTGGAAAGGAAGAAATAAAACTGTCCTATGATTGTAAATATAGACAATCCCAAAGAATCTATAAAACAAACAAGGAAACAAAACCCTAGAACTACTGAGTGAATTCAACAAGGTTACAGAATGAGAGAGAAACGTATGAACTCAATTCTATTTCTGTATACTAGCAATAACAAGTGGACCCCAAAATTACGAATGCAATATCACTTGCAGTCACTCAAGAAAAATGAAATTCTTAGGTGTAAATCTAACAAAATGCTTGTGTGCTTAAAATTCCTATGAAAGAAACCAAAGGAGAGCTAAAAATGCACAAAGAAACATTAACACATTCGTCGGTTAGAAGACTCAAGAGTAAAGATGTCAATTCTCCCCATCTTGATATGTGGGTTAACAGAACCGCAGACAAAATCCCAGCAATATTATTGCATAGATCTAGACATGATTATTCTACTAAATGTGTATAAAATGGCAAAGAAACTAGAATAGCTAAAACAATCTTGAAAAAGAAAAATGAAATGGGATAGATTAGTCTGCCCAATTTCAATATTTACTACTGTATAGCCACAGTGACCAAGGCAACATGACATTAGGGACAGATACACAGACCAGTAGAACTCATAGAAATAGGCCCACGCAAAATTTCCAACTGACTTCAGAGAAGGGTGCAAAGGCAATTCAATGGAGGAAAGACACCCTTTTCAACAGACGGTCGATATTCAGAAGCAAAAAATAAATAAATGAACCTCAGTCAAGTCTCACACTTTATGCAGAAATTAACTCCCAATTGATCATGCATTTATATGTGAAACATATAACTGTAAAACTTCCAGAGAAAAAAGAAGATATTTGAAAGCTAGGGCTAGACGAGGAATTCTTAGACTTGATGCCAAAAGCAGGAGCCATAAGAGGAAAACTGGTTAAATTAGACCTCATCAAAGTTAAAACATTTGCTCTGTGAAAGACCCTGTCAAGAGGATGACAAGTCAAGCTACAGAACGAGAGAAAAATCTTTGCCAACTACCAATCTGACAAAGGACTAGTATGTAGAATATAGAAAGATTTCTCAAAACGCCATAGTAAAAATAACAGTAATAATAATAAATTTTAAATTAGAAAACTGGGAAAGGCATGAAGAGATATTTGACTGAAGAGGAGACTATACAGATGGCAAAGAAACATAAGAATAGGTAACTTAAAATTATCAGCCATTAGGAAAGTACGCATGAAACCCACAATGAGATCTCAACTACGTAACTATTGAATGGCTAAAACAGTGACACCGCAAGTGCTGGCGAGCATGTGGAGAAACTGCATCACTCACACACTGTTGGCGAGAGTGTAAAACGGTGCAGTCACTCTAGAAAACAGTCTGACAGTTTCTTATAAAACGAAACATGCGAGTGCCTGGAAGCCAGCGTGCACTCCTGAGCACTCATCCCAAAAAGACAAAAACTTAGGTTCACACGAAAACACGTATGTGAATGTCTGTAGCCACTTTGTTCGTAATAACCCCACAGGAGAAAACCCAGCAGCCCTTCCGGCGGAAGGTGAGTGGTCAGACAAACTGTGGCCCATCTATATAAGGGAATACTACTTAGCCACAAAAGAGAAAACGATTTCTCATTTAGACACAGGCCACAGCCTGGGTGAACCTCCAGGTGGTTGCACTGAGTGAGAAAAGTCAAGGTTGCGTGCTGTTTAATTCCAGTCACACGAAATTCTTGACATGACAAAATTACAGAAATAGAGAACTGTTTAGGAGTTGTCAGGAGTTGAAGATGGGGCAGAGACAGGGAGAGTAAGAGGACATGGGCTCAGCCACAGAAAGGCAACATGAGGGACCTTGCTGGTGACAAGCATGTTCTGAATCGGTTTTTTTTGTTTGTTTTTTGTTTTTTGAGACGGAGTTTCGCTCTTGTTACCCAGGCTGGAGTGCAATGGCGCGATCTCGGCTCACCGGAACCTCCGCCTCCTGGGTTCAGGCAATTCTCCTGCCTCAGCCTCCTGAGTAGCTGGGATTACAGGCACGCGCCACCACGCCCAGCTAATTTTTTTTTTTGTATTTTTAGTAGAGACGGGGTTTCACCATGTTGAACAGGATGGTCTCGATCTCTTGACCTTGTGATCCACCCACCTCAGCCTCCCAAAGTGCTGGGATTACAGGCGTGAGCCACCGCGCCCGGCCATGTTCTGAATCTTGACTCTATCAATGTCAGTGTCCCGTTTGTGAAATCATACGATAGGTTTGAAGGTATTACCATTGGGAGAAACTGAATAAAAGGTACATAGATCTCCGCATCATTTCTTACATTTGCATGTGAATCTACAATATCTCCAAATGAAAAGTGTAACTAAAAAATAATCACCCTTATCTGTCCATGCTGGAGAGAGGTATTAGGCAGCACGAGTCTCTGATCTGCTCTGGGCACCAGGATCTGAGTCTATTGTCATCCTTATAATACACTCCCTCTTGTATTCCAGATAGAAACAGTAAGTACCTAAGAGTCAGCAATTGCCCAGGAATTTGGTGCCCAGGAATTGCACCAAAATTATAATGCTCCAGGGTTGAATTCGCCAGCACAGGGACTCTGGGTGGCAAATAGCACCCATGCAGGAATGGATATAGGGCAAGAAACCTCAACGTGGAACCAAGTTTCAGTAGGGAGATCAGAGAGTCAGATTAGGGAATAGATCAGCAAAGAAGATAATCAGGAGTCTAAAAATATTTATTCATCGAGAATAAGGCCAGGCATGGTGGGTCATGCCTGTAATCTCAGCACTTTGGGAGGCCAAGCAGGCGGATCACGAAGTCAAGAGATTGAGAGCATCCTGGCCAACATAGTGAAACCCCGTCTCTATTAAAAACACATAAAAAATCAGCTGGGCATGGTGGTGCCTGCCTGTAGTCCCAGCTACTCAGGAGGCTGAGGCAGGAGAATTGCTTGAACCCAGGAGGCAGAGGTTGCAGTGAGCTGAGATCGCACTACTGCACTACAACCTGGTGACAGAGTGAGACTGTCTCAAAAAGAATAAGGGCTGGGCACCTCACTGGGGACTTGAGGCCATGGCTTGGCCAAGCAACAAAGATAGAGTTAAGGCCATGCTTATCGTAGGCAGAAGAGGCATTCACTTCTCCATCCCCTAGTTCATTCAACAAATGTTTAGTGAGAAATTCCCAGAGGCCACTCACCAAGGCAGGTGCCCAAGACACAGACATGCTCACCTGAAGCTCCCTGACTTACGGAGGAAGCAGAAGAGCAAGAGTGCTTAGGAACACTCAGGAGGAACATCAGTTCCAGGGTTGCATAGTCAGATAACACGTTTTGTGAGGAAGTGGTGTGGAAGTGTGGGGTGGAGGGGAGGCAAGATTCATGCAGAGAGGTTGCATGGCCCTGAGCTGAGAGGTGACAGGACCATTAGCACAGCTGGGGTTGTTCTGCAAAGACTGGAAAGCAGGAGTCAGGAACTGAGGGATAAGGGTGGTG